GCCGCTTTCATTTCCATATAAGGTCAAACACAGGTATAATGGCTGGTAACCGAGATCCAGTGAACCAATCAGAAAGCTAGAATTGCATTATCCGAGGATGAGAATTTAATAATTCAAATTATACGGACAACAAATTTTGGCAACTCACATTTTTTGCAGAAATTCCTGATCAGATCCCTTCTTCCCACTATCTCCAGTCCTCTCGCCAGTTCCGCATAAGTCGCGGCGCTGCCTTTAGTTTCCATCCATCCCCTGAGCATTGCGTAACTTTTCTCGAACAAGCCTCTGATACCTCCATCAATTTCGTCCAGCTGTGGGTCTTTCAATTTCAAGGCTCTCCCTAGCTGCTTCCAGTTCTTCATCTCATGGGCAAGACTGAGGACCTCTTTTGGGTCTGGCCTTCCTTCTTTAAAGACCACGGTGGCTGACGAGAAATACAGAATTACAATTCAACTTTTGATTTCCTGGTTCTCTCGTAATCTCCCAGCCCAAAACAGACTTTCCCCAATTGGTTTCGTGTTTGTTAATAATTTAAGGTTAAAATTATTAGAACGGCCTAAAGTTCTTCTTCGCCGGATTCTAATATTTAAAAAATAGTGGACAGATCGAGATTGTCCATAACGTGAAGCCAAAAAGAAAAAAACCAAACAACAATAAGCAGCAAACAACAAAAACAACACCGAAAGCGAACAACAACACATTAAAAAAGAGTAAACAATTGCAGTGCATTGTTATGTAGCATTGTTGAGACTAAACCCTTAAGGTTATTTTTGGGAGAACACGTAAGGAAAAAAAAATCCTTTAGACCTCAATGTGTTGCAGTTTACAGTTTAACAGCTGTTGACTCCCTCAACTGTCATCAGGCCTCCAAGCGTACTCGATAAAACAATATTGAAATGATCCCAGGAACGTAAATTGCAGTGGAGTGTTGAATTAAGTGAGCGTTGAGAAATCGATCGAGGTAAAAATAATTTGTATTAATGGTCTTGTAATTAATAATTGTACTGCTGGACTCTATTTGATTAAAGATCTACTGACTCCCATCTAGTAACTATACTCTTGCCAATGGGTACTACATACGGCTGGGGGTCTCAACATATTCCTCGCCACCGTCTTGACAACAGTACTTTTCCGCCAGCTCTGGCCTTTCGACAGCATCGTGCTGTAACGCTTGTCCGAGGTCTTCGTAAGTCGGTGGGTTAACTTGCACCTCAGTCCATCTTTTCAGCATGCGGTAGCATTGCTCATATTGGCCTTCATTGTCAGCCTCGACCTGGTTCAGATCGGCATCAGCTATACGCAGTTGTCGGCCTAGAACTTTCCACTTGGGACCAACTTCTCGTGCCAAAAGATGCAGTTCATCAACAGAAGGCGACCCGGACTTGAAAACAAGACTCCGCTGAGCAGCTAAAAAAACAAATCATGGACAGTCCTATTACGTTTCTTCTACAACAACCAGACCTGAGGTCACGTGCAAGGAAATGCATGAGTGGAGAGAAACAGCGAATAATTAAGATACCTTTTTGTCATACTTACTCTTGAACCAGTTACGTTGTTTAGCTATCAGAACAACCTGATCCTATTGATACTATTGCATTCAGTAAACAACATCGCTTAAGTTATTAAAAGTTCCGTCTATTTTTTGGACTTATGAAATTCTACAAGTTAGTGTAAAGCCATGTTCGCTTGACGTCATATCGCGCTGGCTAATTTGCTAGACACTATTAATGAACGTGGCATTTGTTCATAGCTGGTGCAATTACTAAATTGTTAACTGTGATGTTATTCACTAAACAGTCGATAAAGACTAAAAAGACTGCCATGTTCATACCTGGGCTTCTACTGCTGCTTGCAACATCCTGGCTTTCTTGACGATTGAATTCTTTCAATACTTGCCGGTGTTTGGGGTCGTCTGAGAAGTATAAAAAAGATTGGAATTTGAGAGAAATCGTTACAGATAAACGACATTGCTTTGTCATTTTGCTCTTATTATAGAATATTTAACAATAAACGTTCAATATATACTTTATCATTTTTTCTGAAGGAAAAATGTGCTAAAGATGTGTACTGTATATATTATTGTCTCACTTAGTACTAGTTAATCACCTTTTCCTACAAGACACACTTTACATGCAGACTATATTTCAATTTCCAGAGAAAATTAATACAAATATGGACTAATCCGCGGGTAGTTTATTCGGCTAATCTAGGCCGATCAGTTATATATAAGGAGCAAATAATGGGCTTCTTGCGGTTTCCAGCGATCTTTGCTTACATCATAGTTTCAATTTGCGGCTTCATTAGTATATACGACTTTGCAAAGAGGAGGCATTACGATACATTGTAGATATGAAGAGAAACTTAATAGAACATGATGAAATTCTTAGCTTTAATATGGAAGGAGACGCTGGCATTCAAACACTTGGAAATTTTTGGCTGGCAAAAGCGCTAACGAGCCCAAACAAAATCTTTTAAGAATGTGTTTTTAAGCCTGCATCACGCAAAAAAGTGTGTGATAAACCGGACATAAAATCGTGTTATGCCTTTTCAAGATTCAGAACTGGTATTTTTGTAGCTCGATCAGAAAATAAATCACTTATTCTAATGAGACAAATACTGTAAAGAACGATTCGCCAGCTTATGTCTTGCAAGTCGAATTGTGAATCACATTTTAATGACTTCGGAAAGAATTCAAAATGAAAAAGCTAGATCTCGTATGATATCGCTTCGTGTTGTCACTACCAAACCTGCACCACTATATATTGGACTTACCTGGTCTCAAAGGGTACACTAAACAGGCGGGCACCTTCTCATCATGGCGATAACACGTCACGTGTCCTTTGGGGCACTTGCGTTGGTCCAAATTTGACATAGGGAAGTTACCAGGATCCTGAATACTCACACGTGTGCAGTGAGGACAAACAACCGAGCACTCCCACCTCAATCCCGGCCACTGTGCCATCAAGTGTGTTAATTCTTCGTGGCAAGCAAGGAGTATCGTCCATAGCTCAAGTAAATCCAGTCCCTCGACAGCCACTGTTATATTGGATTCTGCTCCTTTAAACGATTTGTGAACCAACACCTGGGATTGTTTCACCTGCGCATATACTCCATCCTTCCAGTCATGTCGACTTTTCAAGTCTTGTACATGACGGTGAAGGCGTACCACGAAGTTATGATAGAGCGGCGTCGGACACATGACCGGATACACGTATTTCAGAGACAAACGATGAGATCCCAAACAAGGGGCCTCGTGCATCAATTTCTTTACATAACACACCTCTGGGACATCGTCGGTCAAGAACCAAGGAAAACGAAGCCCGTCTCGATGAACTTCCTTTTCCATTGGATAGCACAAGTCAAGGTGAGTGAACAAGTCGATCATGGCATCAAACACATCTTCTTCAATCCGGTGGTCTCTCCATAGACCCTTCAAGAGCGTCCGTGACAGGATTCCTCGTCTTAGCAAATCTTGCTTTGTCTCCTCGAAAGAATCTGAAGTAAGGAAGTGTTTAATACTACCCCCAAAAGTCAGGGAACCGGTGGCCACCTTGTCTGAAAAGACAACCTTCATAACTTCCGTCAGGAACTCTGCACGGTGGAACACAAACTTCTTGAGCTCGTCTGAGTGTTGGTACCACAGCAAAATCCCTGCGTTATGGAAAAAGCTTAACATTGTCTTTGTTGACTCATTCTTGGATTTAAACAATCTCATGAATATTTCCGCAACGCCTTTGTTTCTGGAATCGACCAGCTGTCTAACGACGTCAAAAGTCAGAAATGGTCGATTCTTAGTCACTTCGGAATTCTGCAGGTCATTGTAAAAGTGCACCCAATTGGAAGGAATGACCTTTCCATTCTTAACGACAAAGTCAAGAATACAGCTCCTTAAATCGCGTATACCTTAGAAATCATTAGAGGACACTATAACAAAGTCTTCAGACTTCAGTTGGCCGTCCTTGAAATGAAAGGAAAAGTGCTCCTTAACCATTTCCACTTTCGAGAACAGTTCCTCTTTGTTCTCTAGGCAATCGACATGTGTTCCTACCAAAATGACTCGAGCTTCAGGTACGCGGGTCTTCAACACATTTATCCAACTGCCCATGTCTCTCAAGAACGTCTCCTCAGAATATCGCGCCAAATTAACCACAAGGAGCACTAGGGAACTTTCATCTAAAAAGAGATGATGCACTATCTTGTAGATGTCATCTCCTCCAAAGTCGATCATTGACACGTCCAGCAGTGTCTCGTTCACGTCAATTTCCCAAGGGATCCTATCCAGTACGATGGTTCGGTCTTCTTCTTCAACGCAGGATGGTTTGTTCTGTGCTAAAGTGTTGGCCAAACTGGTTTTCCCAGCTCCGCTCGAGCCCAGAAGGACAACCTTTTGATGGAATGCCTTCCCTCTTCTTATTTCGTGTAGGTATGTCATAATGCTTGATAATCCACGCTGCCAAACATCAACAGGAGGAAACTTCAGCTGTGGATTTTTCTCAACTTGCAACGATGTGAGATTTCGTAACGTATCAAGGCCAAGAGGCAACTTCTTCAGTAGATTTTCTGATACACAAAGTGTAGTTAGCCATTTTAACTGACATATTGTCTCTGGTAGCTCTTTCAAGCGGTTGCCAGACACATCAAGAGTGGTAAGGTCCTGTAGATTGCTGATATCTTCATTCATTCTCTGCAGCTGGTTTGAAGACAGAGTTAGCGTTGTTAGCATTTTTAGCTGGAAAATAGCTTCTGGGAGCTTTGTCAAGCGATTGTGTGACAGTTCCAGTGTAGTAAGATGAGCGAGATTTATGATATCTTCGGGTATTTCTTTCAACTGGTTTGATGACAGCTTCAATATCGAAAGCGTTGTCAGCTTGAAAATAGCTTCTGGAAGCTCTTCTAAGTGGTTGTCAGAGACATCAAGTGTAGTAAGTTGATCAAGGTTGATAATATCTTCGCTTATCCTATTCAGCTTGTTCGATGAAAGGATTATTGTTGTTAGGCTTTTAAGGTTGAAAATCTCCATCGGCAAATTCTGTAGATGATTCCTCGCCAGATTTAGCGAATCGAGTTGACGAAGGTCTGCGATGCCTTCTGGAATCGTTGTAAGACAGTTGTCAGACACATTCAAGGTTGTTAGCTTTGTCAGCTTCAAAACAGACTCAGGGACTTCGGTCAGTTCGTTGCCCGCTAGTTGNGATTGTGTGACAGTTCCAGTGTAGTAAGATAAGCGAGATTTATGATATCTTCGGGTATTTCTTTCAACTGGTTTGATGACAGCTTCAATGTCGAAAGCGTTGTCAGCTTGAAAATAGCTTCTGGAAGCTCTTCTAAGCGGTTGTCGGAAACATCAAGTGTAGTAAGTTGATCGAGGTTGATAATATCGTCGCTTAACCTATTCAGCTGGTTCGATGAGAGGATTAGTGTTGTTAGGCTTTTAAGGTGGAAAATCTCCATCGGCAAATTCTGTAGATGATTCCTCGCCAGATCTAGTGAATTGAGTTGACAAAGGTCTGCGATGCCTTCTGGAATCGTTGTAAGACAGTTGTCAGACACATTCAAGGTTGTTAGCTTTGTCAGCTTCAAAACAGACTCAGGGACTTCGGTCAGTTCGTTGCCCGCTAGTTGAAGGGAGGTTAATTCGGTGAGATTTGCTATACGATCAGAAAGTCTCTGGATTTCGTTGTACCCTGCATCTAGTGTTAACAACGATTTCAACCGGAAAATACCATTTGGCAACAAATGTAGCTTGTTACAGCTCATCAGAAGCGCTTTTAGGTGAGTCAGGCATGCTATCGCTCTAGGCAGGGACACCAGACGGTTGAGCGACACGTCTAATGTCGTCAACTTTTCCAGCTGACCAATGGCTTCAGGTAATTCAAATAAGTTGTTTCCTTCCAAACGAAGAGTGTTCAATTGATGCAACTGTTCTATGTTCTTCGGTATTTTCTTTAAAGAGTTCCATGATATGTCAAGGATTGTCAAACGTTTCAGAAGGAAAAGGGTCTCCGGCAGTTCGTCCAGCTTGTTCGTGCTCAAGTTTAGGGTTTGAAGCTGGCTTAAACCAGATAAGGTTTCAGGCAGTCTGGAAATTTCATTTCGGGACACGTCCAGATTGACAAGCCTCTTCAACTGACAGAGAAAGCTCGGTAATTCTCTTAGCTTGGTTCCTGCTATCCGAAGTGTTGAGAGCAGGCGCAGATTCGTGATCTCTTTTGTTATTCTTTCGATTGGGTTTGATGTTATGTCTAGAGTAGTTAGCTTCTTTAACCTACACAGGTTTTTCGGAATCTCTTCGAGCTCGTTGTAGCTCAGATTAAGTGTGGTGAGTTGATCAAGATTTGATATTGATTCAGGTAATCTTGAAATTGTGTTGTATGCCGCGTCCAATGTTCTCAACGTTTTCAACTGACAAACAATACGGGGAAGCTCCTCCAGTTTATTTCCACTCAGCACTAAAGTTGTAAGCTGGTTTAGATTCTTCAACCCTTCCGGCACTTCCGCTAGTTCGTTGTCTGAGAGATCGAGAACTTCTAAATCGGTCATTTTTGCGAGAGCATCAGGAACTTGGGCGAGTTTTCTTCCTTTCAGACATAGTTCCTTCTTCCCGTCTGCATTTAGGCGAACTAAACTCTTGACGTCTTCTTCTAGAACACCATTCATGATTATTTCCAGAGTAAGAATTTGAAGGCGATTTCTTATTAATCTGGAAAAAAAAGATATCAGGCAAGCTTAGTAACATCCCCTGGCTTGAATACGGTCCATTGCTATCAGTGCAAGTCGAAACTGGTATTGTAGAACTACGCATTTTTTTTCTGCGATTTCTTTGATAATGCTGTAGCAATCGACACCAGTTGTACAAAAACTATATCACACACACATATATAAATCGCAATGATTTCGTGGCAGCAAGCAAGTGGAGTTAATGGTCCCTCTTAGCGACGAGCCAAAGGCAAAAATAATAATAATAAAAAAAAATAACAATAAAAAAACGAGGCAATGCAAGTTGTACGAAACATTGCTTAGTGTGTAAGCGACCGTACAACTTTATCGACGATACTTCCTTTCGTTATACCGTTTGAATTGTTCTTTCAACAAACATTAAACAGAAACAGAACTGCACGTTTTTACTTTGTCTTTCTTTAAAAGGTTACTCTAATGATTAATTTGCTCTTCAAGAACGCGTAGTGGGTGAAAACAATTTATGCAGTTTTTGGAGAAACCAGTCAATGAAAGCTCAAAACATAAAGGATAAGCCAGCCACGAAAATTGGAAGAGCATGATAACGTCATTTTCATTTTCATTTCACTTGATTATTCATTACATGTCCTTTTGCATTTTTGCGGCATATTTTATTTTTATCACCCTTGCATTTTAATTTCTCCTCTCATTTATATTTGCTTTGTTCTCTGTTGTTGTGGCAACTTTTATTTTTTTTTTTTTCTGGCAACCTTTAAAATTTCATTTAATTTGACTTCCCGTTACACATGTAGCTATTCCTTCACAAGCAGACGGTTACATACCTCGTGGTACCAAAAATAAACTTGGGTGATCAGGACAGATCGACTGTCAACGTCTTTAGATATTGACATTATTTACCTTGCAGACGATAAATGCGTCTCAGATGAAAAAGTGCCCCTAGATCTGTTATGTGCGGAAAATAAGACGCATTAAACGTCAGACGAATTAAACACTTTCGTGCGACTGGAAGACGCACAAAACGGACTCATTACAGTATCAGACGTTTAATTCGTTAAGGTAAATATGAGATGTACAAACGAACGAGCATATCTGAACTGTGAATCCGCTACACTTAAATCTGTGATCAGGCGACCAACAGTCCTCCAACATTTTTTTCTCTGTAAATCTTTTTTGTTACCTAAATGCCCTTAATGTTAGACGTAAGTCGAAGATCACAACATCGTTCTTTGAATACCGGCCGGTTTAATCATCAACCGACGCCAGGTACATCTGAAGGTACATCTAAGACCATGTATAATGCAAATACAAATGCACGTACGTGTAAATAAAAATGTAACATTGTAAAAATGCAACGGTAAAAATGCAACGGCAAATACATAAGCAGATAAAATGCAAGCGAAAGACCACAAATGCTAAATGAAATAGCGAAAACAGACACTGCAAAACCAAGCGAAAACTATTAAATGAAAATGATATGACATCGTTTGTACATGTTGTTCTCTTTCTCGTACGGTCAAACCTGTATTAAGCGGACCCCATATTAAGCGGACACCCTCTATTAAGCGGACAGCAGTGCAAGTCCCATTTTTCCTTTCCCACATTCACTGTATTCAACGGACACCTCTATTAAGCGGACGCGGACACCTTAAACTCGACTTTTATGGTCATTACTATTGTTAGAAACCTGTATCAAACGGACACTGCAGAAATAATGCCTGATTTTTTTTCTCCACGTTTTAGTAGATCGGCCATTTAAGTTTGCCAACAAACTGAGCTGTCACAGAAATGCAATATTCTGTAATTTGATTTTGTTTTTACAGAACTTTTGTTCTTGTTTGATTTTGTGAACCTTCACATGATTTGATCAGTATAGATACTGTTACTGTATACTTAAATCGCTTTACCTCATGTACTTGTCATTGTTTATGGAAATACGGTATTTCAGAGTTATCAATCGTTCACGAGAATGCTATTTGTCCCTTTCAAGGTCTTTTGATACTGACCAATATTGATAAATTATCCTTTTAAGACGAATTCTGAGGAAACCTGTATTCAGCGGAACCCTGTATTAAACGGACACTAGCAAGGGTCCCGAGGGTGTCCGCCTAATACAGGTTTGACTGTGATTCCATAGCGGTAGCGGCGAACTCGAACGCTTCTGCTCCTTTGGCCTCTATATACTCTATTCTTGTAAATACATTTTCGCATTCGTTTTCTTTGTCTGCTTTTAACTGCTGTTTACTTAAAACATTATTGTAATGGAAATAAGAGTACAGAAGTTATTCGCGTGACGCACGACGGACTAAGCGAGAGAGGGACTACTCGTAGTCTAATTTGTACTTAAAACTGGCATGACAGCGTTAAGCGTGACGATTAAAAGTGTGACTAAGAAACCAGAGCCTGGGGTAAGAAGTGTCCTAATTCTTGGCATAAGGATTAGACTGTAGCAGGCTATGAAAAAAGCGGTCACCAGTGAAATTAGTTTTGGGAACGTTCCTATCCATCTGTGTGTTTACATGGGAATTAGCTTATTCGAAGGTTCGCTAACTGATCGTTTACTTCGCGCACTCATGTACATTCTAAGAACCAAAACATACAGTTCTAAATACAGCAAATTAATGCTAATTGAGATTTTCATACACAAATGTATTCAACTTGAATTCAACGGCGAAATTGCAGATTTGAAATATTGCTGTAAGGAGATGAATAAGATTCACTTTATGCACGGCCCTCGCTTCCGGCTTTTCTCAGTACATTGAACTACCGTTCTAAACCATTTCTCCCAATGTCCTGTGATTTTGCGCTGCAAATCCTACAGAACAGCAATACCCACCGATAAGACAAGTGGAAAGCTACAATAGCAGGCGAACTCATTAGATGAAAATTGAAGCAGAAATAATTTGAAGTGCACAATTGAGGTGTAACGACACTCACGATCGACTATTTATGTTGCAATGCATAATAGTCATAATGTGATCACGGAATAACAGAATCGCCAAACAGCTTCAAATTTCTGTCTCTTCGAGCCTTTTGCTCTCAAGACTGACCTAACATTGTTACAATGCAAGAACATGTTCAATTCCTGGCAACCTAAGAGAATTATTGTAATATTAGTATAATTGATACCTGATAAGAATGCGCTTTGACAGAACTGCCTGAAAACCAGCTGCTGTCTCCGATTGAAGCCAACTCTGGACGGAGATTGTCGTTTTCAACAGCAGATCAACAGAAGCTAGAAGGGGTCAGATGTCTCCATCGTAAAACGTAACAGTCTTTGGTCTAAATATTGTGCAGATTCGTGTCATCGTGCATACAAAGAATAATTTCATTGGGAGTGAGACAATTGCGGAACCTGTCTCCCATGAAACTTTGCAGTCACACTAAGATATAGTCGTTCCCAGTGTCTCGATTTCATTTTAAGGCAAGTAGGACTGGAGACGGAAGTAGAGGTCGATAGGGCAAATCCAAGGGAAATAGTTTTCAAAATAACAAGGAATTCGAAATAGCCGTGTTCCAATGAGCGGGCCACTGTATCCAATTAAATAACTGACAATGTTTCAATAGAACCGACTAAAACAAAACAAAAAATATCTATTTTTTTTCTCCCTTCGGCCTGGGCACTCTTCCCCACGACTCATCCCTCATTTGTCCCTTGTATATAATTCTATTTGTTACAGTATTCGTTTCAGTTTCCTACTACAAACTCTGGTAGCGTGCAGTGTCCCATTGAATGTTCACTCCCTTAACTAAAGGTTTACAAATTTCTGCGAGGTGGCAGAGAGGTTTATTTAGATTCCTTGTTCATTACTGTTCCGTTTATTTGATTTGAGGAAATAATATTCTCTCATGGCCAAAAACAGACCATGTTATTGTGTTGTTAGGGGGAGAATTTGTCACTTTTCTAATGCCATCTTATAATTTTTGCCTTCCGAAGTGCCAGACTTCCGTAAAAATTCTTCTTTACTCGCTAATAGAAGCGAAAGTTCTTCGCATTTTCACAGTGTAAGAAGCTCTTGATTAAAAAGAAAAAAACAAAAACGAAAACAAAAACACAGATTGCATGACGTAAGCGTCCCATTTTGTCTTTTTCCGAGAATAACCGGATACTGTATAACGCATGACTTGTCGCCACTCATCAATGATTAGGGAAATTTCCCTTCGGTGCAAAATGTTTCTCGGAAAAAGACTTTAATCTCGCAGCGATAAAACAGTTAACAGTTTGTTTCAATCCACAGCAAATCTTTAACAAAGTACACTGAAAGCAGTAACATGGCATGCAATGGTAAGTAAAAGCCTATTATACACTGTTAGTGTAGCGAGTGAAGACTATTTCAGTATCGAGAAATTGCAGGCCGCATTTCCAGTGCAATGTATTTTTCGAGGTCAGCAGATCAAAAACTGTTGAGCTGTTCGGGTTTTTACAATCGGTTCGATATTTTAGACAAGTGAGCAAACGTCTGTAACTCTCTAAGATTCTCTACCTGATCACCATAACCAGACTTACTGAAAAGTTCTTACCCCGGCTTACAAACGATTCAGCTTATAAAATATACAGCGCTAAATTTATTGCAGCTTGTCAAGACGTTTTGAAGATACATTTCTGGTTATTTTATCGTCATTCAGTGTGTCTGATGCTAAGTGCATCGAAGACCAACATCTGCAGCTATTTGAGGTTTTCTCAGTAACAACCCAGAGTGGTCAGAATGAAAGGTCAGAAAATTTAAAAGTCAAATTTTCATCGGTTGGTCGCTCAGGTTATGTTCAAGCATTTCACAGACATCAAACTAACATCACCATTCACACTGCATAATAATAACAACGCTGTAAACATACCCATATCAAGTGAAATAAAAGAATAAAGGATCCTTAGCTAATTTTGTAAATACATACTACATGTTTCTGCATAGTTTTTGCAAGACGGAAATTGAAAATGAAATTCAACTGATGAAATAATGTGACACAAGCATGCATGTCTGTACCAGTTTATAACATTATATTTTCTATTCCGACAGCATTAAAAGACTCACTTTTCTATTCTCCGAGAGCTTCGTACCTTGCCGTTGTGGCGATCGATTTTGGGACGACCTACAGTGGATTTGCATTTTCTTTTATTAAAGACCTAGGAAAGGACGCCATCTTTATGAACCTGGACTGGGTGAATGAACAGGGTGGCCAAACAAGCAAAACTCCAACATGTCTGCTACTCAAACCTGACCTGTCATTCGACTCGTTTGGTTATGATGCTATTGAGAAGTATGCAGATCTACAAGGAGAGAGCGAAGAAAAGGAATACTTCTTTTTCAAGCACTTTAAAATGGCTCTGCACAGTGATGAGGTGAGTTGCTTGAATTCTTAATTACTCAGCTCTTACCTAGTAGTTTGGAGATTAGAGGGGTTATTGTTGATAAATAAAATCCAAGCTGTTTATCTCTTCATCTTACTCCACCTCTCCACTTCGCACATTATTTTGACCATTCATCATCCATCCATCCATCCATCCATCCATCCATCCATCCATCCATCCATCCATCCATCCATTCTTGTTCCTTCAAAGTCTGTTTCTCAGCCGATTCTCTACTGGCTGCGAAACCCATGATCAGTTGCCCTCATTAAGCTAACCATAGGGTTAGGTTGTCCTTGCTACCTGGTGAAAATTTTCTTTGATAACCGGCATGTTTGGCATCGCAGTCAAATAAGTCAAATGCCGGACAGATCGGGTTTACATACATTTCTTTATTTACCCTCGGATTTCAGAGTAGCTTCTGCAGTTTTTATAGCTTATGGGTTTGAGCCTCTCATTTCGAAAGTCCATGTCAATGAAGGGCTTTTGTTTGATAACTAGGATGTGCTCCCCAGAAATCTCATTTCCTCGCCGAGGAAGGAGCCACACACATCTATCCACTTATCAGCGTTTTTTTAGAGTGGGATCATGTACCTGTTAGCTGGAAAATACCGTCGAACCCCTATTAAGCGCTTTATAGGGGTGTGTGTGCTTTGAATATTTTTCAACATCGAGTTAACATGTAATCACATCAAGACACTCATAATAAGCATGTGTTTGAATGTTTTTATCAGTCGTCCAATTTTATTTCGGACTGTTATTTTTCATGGTCTTTTCTAAAACAAAGCCAATCCAAGTGTATTAAATTTTGTGTGGCCGCTTAATAGGGGTAAAGACAATCGGAAAACCCTCATCGGGACGACCAAAAGGTGGCTGTGGCCGTTTAATAGAGGTGGCTAGTTAATAATGAGGGTTTTATTTGCAGTACTTTGCTGACAATAATTTCGGGACTTTGATATCTGGCCGCTTAATAACGGGTGGCCGCGTAATAACGGGTGGCCGCTTAATAGGTGGCCGCTTAATAGAGGTCCGACTGTATTTGTAAGGAAATTAGCTGGAAGTACAATTTGAGACATCCTGCTGAAAAAGGAACAGATATAAATTTAACAGTTACGTTGGTCAAAAAATTGTTTCAAAAAGGCGTACAGTTATAGCGGAGCTCCGGCGGCCCAAAGGGCCGCCAAGCGGAGCCCCATAATCATATGGGAAACAAAAGGAAATCCATGAATGAATTTTCTCATGGTTTTCATGGCTAGCGGTATTGCTCGTGGGCGCGTACGCACGACGACGACGACGACGATGACGACGGCGGAGTTGCCCAACATGGCGGCCATACTCCAGCTAATAGGTCGACAGAGACATGCACCCTCGGTCTCTAGCAGAAGAATGCCATTTTTCTTGGCAGGATTTTTAAAGAAAAGAAAACGCATTTCTATTTGTTATGTCGACAAATGATAGCGAAGGTTGATCTAATGTTTTTAAGATAGGGTTGCACTGAAGGANACACCTCGATCTGCTGATGTGATCCTATTTCCAGCTGAAACTATTAAATAGTTCGCAATTTACCTCACATGCATGTTCGATTATTTTCATTAGTAACAGCATTCCGAAAAAATACTGAGGAGTTCCGCTTTTAGGCTCGGCTAAATCTATATATTATTCTTTGAGGCCATAATGACAGACAAATCAGAACGTTGTGTGCCCCAATATTGTGGTGTGTAAGAGGCAGTCTCAAAAAGGTTATTAATGAACAGATATCCAAAAAACAAAAGGACAAAACTTGAGATGGAGGCGGGAAGAAGTGATATCGAAAAAAAAACAAACAATTGCAAACAAACAAACAAAAAACAAAAACAGCAACACCATGCAAAACAAAAGTGTTGGCAAAACACCTGAAAGCAATTCATGTCTTTTTTTCCAGAGCTTGAACATCAAAACTGCTATCAAAGCAGCCAACGGACAGTCAGTTGAAGCTAAGACAGTGTTTGCACGTTCCATCAGGTTTCTTAAAGAGGAGGCGCTAAAAGTTATTTGCCAACGGACTGGAGATGACCACTACAACGCTAACGATATCCAGTGGGTTCTAACAGTCCCAGCAATATGGACCCCAAAAGCTAAACAGTTCATGAGAGAAGCTGCTTATGAGGTAAGGATGGATAAATGTGAAGCGTTGTTCAAATATTAAATAAATAAACTTCAAAGGCTGGTATGTCTTGATGTAAACCTACACCGGCTCTTAAAGCAAAAATACGTGCCGTTGAATCTGATTAAGTATCGGGAAAATATAATTTTCAGAAAGCTATTTCACTTAGTTACTATGACACCCAAATGCAGAAGAAATGAGATCAAGGCAAGGCTCTAGATCATAAGTATGGCCATCCCAGAATTTACGTTTAGATTAGCAATAAGCTTCTTTTTTGATTGTACAGGCAGGTGTGGGATCCTCAGAAAATGCAGAGCAACTAATAATTGCTTTGGAGCCGGAAGCGGCAGCAATATTTTGTCAGGAGAAGAATATGAATGATTTTCAGGCAGAAACTGGCAGCAGACCTGTGGATGGAATACTGTCTCAGTTAAATACACACTACATTGTCGTTGACATTGGTGGTAAGTTATACTTCTGTCAACTTGTTTCTTATTTCTGAACGTTCTGTTTATCATTTCATCGTTTTGTTTCTGAACAAAAGATCACGAGCCATAAGGAAGATGGAAGTCCACAATTCACCGTAAAAAATTTATGCTTTCGAAGTCGTTAAAAGTGATTATACTGGTTACTCACCAGCTAGTCCACTCTGGGCATAGAGAATAGGCAACTCATGTGGAATTCGAGTGAAAATCAATAACCACCACGCTCATTTTATCCTTTTCACTTCCTTCACCTTCACATTCTTTGCCCCACCTTGATAATAGAAAATAGCAAAATTAGCCAACATCTATTTTACTTAGGCAAGATAAAAATCTGGAATTAGCGTCCTGATTGCTCTTTTTCTTATAAGGGGGCACGCTTGACGTGACCGTACATGAAATACAAGAGGATGGTGCCGTCAAGGAGATCCACAAAGTTACAGGGGGCCCTTACGGCGGAATATACGTAAATCATCGATTCGAGAGCCTCTTGGAAGACTTGCTTGGTGCGAAAAAACTTCAAACGTATCGCAACCAGTTTCCATCTGATTGGCTATCTTTGATGAATGAGTTCGAAGCCAAAAAGCGAGGGAACCGCATCCTAGACAGCAGCTTGATGACAAACATCCGATTACCACGCAGCTTTGTGTCCCTGGTAAATCAGACAAAAAGTCCAGTGATGGAACGGTATGGAGAAAAAGAAGTAAAGCTGAAAAATAATGAGTATCTTTCTCTGAGTTCAGGAATCATGAAAGGACTATTTACTCCTGTGGTGAAAAGTATAAAGAAACATCTGAAAACCCTGCTGAGAAAGCCAAGCCTCTCAAAAGTGCAAACCATGCTTCTCGTTGGCGGCTTCGCCGAATCTGCTTTCCTTCAAGAAGAAATAAAAAAGGAATTTTCAAGGTCTCTCAGAGTCCTTGTTCCCCGTCATGCAACCACAGCAGTTGTCCAAGGTGCTGTGATCTTCGGCAAAAAACCCTCGAAAATAACCGAAAGAGTCGTCTGCACAACTTACGGCGCTGACAGCTGCCCCGATTTTGTCGAGGGTGTTCATCCGGAAGAAAAGAAGTTTATCGCAGATGGCGTTGAGAAGTGCGATGACGTATTTAATTGCTTTGTAAAGGAAAATAAAGCGGTTAAACTTGGTGAGAGAATAACCAAGAGATACAAGCCAGTGTACGCGAACCAAACAAGACTTCAATGTGGATTCTACGTCACAGGCAATCCTAATACTCAGTTTGTCACTGATCCTGGAGTAACTAAGATTGGAAGTGTCGTGGTTAAGTCCCCTGATATCTGGAGAGGTAAAGATAGGAAAATAGAAGTCTGCATGTATTTTGGTGGAACAGAAATAACCGCGACAGCTTGGGACGTCTCAAGTGGAAACAAGGCTCAAACGACCTTGGATTTTTTTTGTCGATCATAGACACTCGACTATAGCCTCCATGCCTTATTATATCATGACGTGATGTCGTGATTAGACGTTATAAGGTATTTTGTCACATAGATAATTTCAATAACACACATAGATCATTGGTAAAACGTTAAGGCTAATTAACTTTTGATTTCATTCTGTTAAACCAGGTTGATTGCAAGGCTGCCACAGTGCTAAAAGGCACTTTGCTCTTAGTTCAATAAATTACTACATATTAGCTCAATACGTTTAAAGCTCTTAGTTTAATAAATCTTCACATTTAGAAGGGCATTTCCTTGAATCTCATTACAATAATCACTTTTTGATAAAATCCGTTCGGAACAGGCAAGCTAAAATTGCGGTCCAGTGCATGCACGAAGTTCATACCCTGTGTTCTACAGGTTGATATTAGCCAATAAGGCATAAAGTTAGTTCTCTTTTGTTAGCTGGTGACAGATTAGAAGGGAACCAATAGCTCGTTTTATGTTAGGGTTATTTAATTTACATCACATTTAGGGACAATTTTCTAAGCGTCTACCTCGCTTAGCATAATTCTTATTGCCTATTCAGTCAAACACTATGACTGATTTCGCGCGCCAAGGAATATCCCACCAGTCGCTTGTGTTTTCTCAGTATACACACGAGCCTTATGTGAGAATGTTCGCCAAGAAAATTCCAGTGACAGGTGGGATATTCCATGATACACAAAGAGAAAGCGTTGCATAACTATTTTATACCATGATAGAAAATACATTGGCCAACACGATCAATACGACGCAGGCGTAGCGTACAATGGGAAGGTTGGGTGTAATACCACCGAGTATAAAATGGCTTTCCTGTTTTCTGATTGGCTGTAATTCCTATGGCATAGTATAAATGTGTGTATGTTTTTAGATAGTATCATTTCCCGCGCGGTAGAAGTCTACATTTGTGCGAAGCGTTGCTAAGCTTCCATGTTTAGCTTCTATTCAAACCTTTGCATGATAGTACTCAGTTTAGGAAATATGAATCATTCTATCATTTTTGAACTTTATCGAATCTTTCGCGTGCAGTAATCATAAAATTCTGACTACACTAATATGAGACATTCAATGTGAATAATTCATGGGGGATGTGTCTGGCAGTCATCTGATGTAGGACCATATAAATGTATTCCGTCTTACAACATAGTCTGTATCCTTGCAAATTACAACTATTGGTTCTAACAATTAGAACCTGTGCTACGCCAGGTACGAAAACCACTAAAACACAACCTTTTAGATGTGGCCAAAATATATGTTCATGTGGAAACGTATTCCTCGTCTAATGCAGTAGCATTACACCCCGAGGAAAGGGTACAAAATCAGTAACGTAGGATATTTACAATTATTCATACAAGTTGTTATAGCAAAAGCTTACTAATAATAAAAAAGAGGATGAACATAAAGACTGACCTAAATCTCCCGCCAAATGCCTAAATAGTCCCTAAACGTCCCATTAGACCCTGCAAGTCTCTCCCTCGCGCCGATCGTGCCGTCAGAATGATAAATTTCTGACTAATTCGTTCCAGTCGTCAGAAATAACATTTTTTCCCTAGACTCAAGTTTGCAGTTTCATCTCGCAAAATATATACTTGGAAAATAATTATTCTTGCGTTTTCTGGTTTGACCGTTACCAGACAAGGAAGGGGAGGGG